AGCTTAGCTACAGTAGACTTGAATACACCATTTCTAGAGGCTATTTAATGAGTAGAGAGGCCAGTAGTAGACAGAGAATGGATATTATCCCTTTGAGCAGAGGAGATGGTTTTCATGGTGATTATGACTATGATATATGGGACACACTTCATTATATACTTAGCAATAGGTTTAATAATGTCATAATGACACCACTTCATAATTTATTTAATAGTGGCATAACTTTATGGTGTCATAACTAATGATTTATATAATTTTAATCTAGGGTCAAAAAACTGTCCGTATGAGTCATGATTTTGTAAGGCCTATAGTGCCACCACATTACCATGGATTCCCATGGGCAAGGGCTCAAATTCACACCCCAAGGGAGTAATACAGTGTACCCCACTAGCATAACCTTGGTCTACCTGTCCATTCATATACAATAATGTAAATAGTGAAAATAGCACAAACATGTGGACAGTTTTTTGAGCCACTGTACCTGCGGTCAGCCTCAGTTATTGTTATGGTCCAACTAAAAAGTTGTTTCAGTGCTAATGCTGAGCTTGGGGTGCTGCAATAACCTTCAAAGTACAGGAAAAGTTTAGCATGTCCACTGGGCGTTGCTGCAAGTTGGGCATGATGCACTTACAGTACCAAATCATACAGATTTATAAGTTGCAGATGGTTAAGATACACTAAGAATGATTGATTTGAAAGGTGAGCACACAGCAGATATCAGAGCAGACTGCAGGCAACAACAAACCTTGAGTAAGGACATCTACATATACAGATTCATGCAGGGCAGTCTCTCATGCCAAGCTGTCACCAATGCAAATAAGCACATTCAACACCCTATCGTTTGCATTAGTGCCAGGTGCCCAAATCATAAACTACACACCAACGACAGTTCAGTCTCTGCCACCATTCATTGTTATGGTCCATGTCATATACCAGATCCGACCGCCCCGATACTGATATCCACCCCACTTTCCAACCCTATCCGCTCCATTCATCATCCGCTCCGCCCGATCATTATTCGTATCCGCTCCGCTCAACCGCTCAACCGGTCCCCTTCCATAGCATCTCCATTCAACTGGACCTCTTTCCCCTTTTAGATATATGCTTTCCTTTTCGGTACTTAGACCATTACTTCCAGATCACCGGTAATTCCTATTACCACCTGATTGCTGATCCAACGCGTACATATTGATATCCGCTCTGACTTATGTCTTCGCCTATGTAAAGTACTTATAAACTATATCCTTGGTACATAGCTTTACTACATAGTTATCCTGATCACTGCCTCACATAGAAGTATATAACATATCCTGTACTTAGATACTTTTCCTTAGTCTTAATATTACTTGTCTTCTTGCAGTTACCTCTTGTGGGAATTCTCAGTAGGACCTTGCCTCCTCTGGACACAAGTCTCAACTTGTTGTCACCTCCGACCCTCCGACCCTCCACTCCAACTTAGAGCCGTGCTCTAAGTCTTTCCCTTGTTACCCCGCCCCTATCAATATCCTCCTATCACCCCTTTTCCTATCCTCTACATTATCCTCCGCCATCTCCGCTCCTACCAAATATCCCCCTGGTTTCTACCCACCCTCCGCATCGTTCCCCACCTTCTCCACTCCGCTCCTAGTCGGTCCACTGCTAGCAGCTCTTACTTCCCGACCCTCAAAGCGGACCTAAGCGGTCCACTTGTCCTATCGTCGGATCCGCTCCAAATTTGAGGCACGTACTCGGCTAAGGGCGCAGTGCAAGAGCTGAAGCCAAGCCCCAACCCCTCTGCCTCTTGAGCCGGCACGGTACCTAACAGTCCATCTAAAAAGTTGTTTCTGCAGTGAGTATACATACTGTCATATACCTGATCCAACCGCTCCCATATCAATATCCGCTCCACTTTCTGACCCCCTCCGCTCCATTCATCCTCCGCTCCACCCAATCACAAGTCCGCATTCCGCCCTACACGTCCGCTCAACCACTCAACTGGTCCCCTTCCATAGCATCTCCATTCAACTGGAGCTCTTTCCCCTTTTAGGTATATGCTTTCCTTTTCGGTACATAGACCCTCACTTCCGGATCACCGGTAATTCCTATTACCGCCCGATCACTGATCCAATGTGTACATATTGATATCCGCCCTGACTTATGTCTTCGCCTATGTAAAGTACTTACAAACTATATCCTTGGTACATAGCTTTACTACATAGTTATCCTGATCACTGCCTCACACATAGAAGTATATAACATATCTTGTACTTAGATATTTTTCCTTAGTCTTAAGTAGGACCTTGCCTCCTCTGGACACAAGTCTCAACTTGTTGTCACCTCCGACCCTCCAACCCTCCACTCCAACTTAGAGCCATGCTCTAAGTCTTTCCCTTATTACCCCGCCCCTATCAATATCCTCCTATCACCCCTTTTCCTATCCTCTGCATTATCCTCTGCCATCTCCGCTCCTATCAAAATATCTCCCTGGTTCCTATCCACCCTCTGCATCGTTCCCCGCATTCTCTGCTCCGCTCCTAGTCGGTCCGCCGCTAGCAGCTCTTATTTCCCAACCCCCAAAGTGGACCCAAGCGGTCCACTTGTCCTACCATCGGACAATGTCGGACCCGCTCCAAATTCAGGGCACATACTCAGCTAAGGGCGCAGTGCAAGAGCTGGAGCCAAGCCCCGACCCCTCTGCTTCCTGAGTCGGCACGGTATCTAACACATACACACACATGGATACCTTAAAAAAACTTACGCAGACAAGTGCAAAGAGTTGAAGGCATTAGCATAAAAAAATAGAGCTTATCCTATTGCATAGAATACATAGTAGAATTCAAAGAGATGACAAACTGCAAACAATTCAAAGTCCAAACATTATATGCCAAATCCAACATGCATGTCATGTGCCATACATCAAAATGAATGTAACATGTGGGTAATACTAACAACACCATTAGTTGTGACTACTGACCGCACATTGCAACATTGTAGTTCAGTTCAACAGCAGTTGTTGTTGTTTGGCCAACAGTGTGGCAACCTCATGGTGATTTTTTTAAATGCTCACAGTTCCTCACTAATACTTTGACTCAGTTTCTCCCACCAAGTACCCCTCAATATGCCTTTGAAGAAAATGACAGCAAAAAAATCCAGAAGAGGTTCAGCCCCCCATGTGGTCATTACACTTGAGGCTGGAAATGTCTCAGATGCATTGCAGGGTGAAGAGATGGATCCTCAAGTGATACTTGCCATGTGGCAGGATTGAGCATCATAAGGTGGCCTTTGACATTGCCACAACCGCAAAGGCCACCAACTATCAACAAGGTGTAGATACCATGGTATGTGCTCTCAAGAAGCAAGGCAAGTGGGACCATGTCATGATAGTGTTATTTGTGGTGATTGAGCACCTTATGGTGCAAGTTATTTGTTTTATGATGTTGCTTCCTCTATTGGACTCTTACTTAGCATGTGATGTGAATTCCTTACTTACTTAGGTAGTGTTTACACTTGTTTACATAGACTCGCCCATAGGTAGCAAGTCCTGTGTTGGTTGCTCTTTAGCAACTGACACTGGACTATAGGTATAGTACACTCATTAGTTTACACAACACAATAGCAACTGACACTGGACTATAGTCCTGTTCACTCTCATTAGCTCACTTGTGGCTTGGTTCACTTAGTTATTCTAACAGATAGGAATCTCCAACCATGTGGAAAACAACAATGGCAACCCATTCACAGGGTACAACAGTAACAAAAGATTCATTGATGCATATGTCAATAATGTAAGTCATGTTTTTATTCTGATGGTGACTTCAGCTACTAATGTCTCATAGTTTTTAGAAATCATTCTCAAACCATGGCAGGGCCTCATCAATCACACATCTGAGTCATACTTATGGTTCTTTTGCTGTGGTGCCCTAGTCAACAATGTCGAGTCATTCAAAACCTTGCAGACATTGATTCTTCAGTATGTCCTCTACTTTTTCTTAGCATTTGAGCTTCTAACTGAGTCTATTTCAGTCACCATATGAGCACTGCTGTTGCCTTTACCACACCTCGCTTCTAGCCTAGTTTTACATCTCATCTACTTCTTGCATTCACCAAGATTGTGCTCCTTGAGTGATTCATGATTCACAACTCTTTTCTGCACATGCTGGGTCAACCCTTCAAGCTCAGACACCACATGGATATCTTCTTGATGATGCCAGACAAGGACCAACTGACAGTGACCAAATACTATTGGACTCACATTGACCATCGCCCATGGTGTCATTACCTACCCCTACTGTGTCCTGCTTGTGGTGTAGGGAATGCTTGGTGATCTGCCAGTAAGTCCAGAGCCTATATCTTTGAGTGCACCAATCAGCCTTGTCATACATCTTGCACATTTAAACAGCCAGAAGGTTCCAGAATGCTGCATCCTGGGAAGACGGGTAGCAGTTGCTGGATCTCTGTCCCTTGGAAATCTTGACCATTTGAATGTCATTCATTTCATACCATTTTGTAGACTCAGGATAAATGTGTTGCAAAAATCATCAGCATTTGAATGACTTAGACTTGGGATACATTCAGAATGAGGTCAACAAAATAATAAAAGAAACAAAATTAAAGGCAACAAGGAAACCAACCCACCAAATGAATTGTCAAAAAGGGTACATTGCTTTCAGATAATCAATAATCAATAATCAAGGATGTGGTTCTAAAAAGGAAATAATGACAACAGGTTACCAGGTGTTTGTGATTCTCATGTACTCTCTGAATCAACGAACAATTATTATTGTTTGCCAGTTGGAAGCCATGGTACGTTCCAATATTGCACATTCTGACACTGTACAGTCCTCAGGCCTCAGGATGTTGTTATGTTCTAGGCAACTCAACGCTCTCAAGAGTACATAGCGGAGCTGCTGGACCATAGTTTTGGAATCTGGCCGACGCAACTGCCGCGGTATGCTGAACCAGTAATGTTGTGAGTACAGATCTGCTGATACATAAGTCAAACATCATTTTCGTTATATAGAATGAATGGTCGTGAAGATTACTCGGTCCCTATGAGGCAAATTGATGACCCTCCGTTAGTGACCCTCGCTCCCAATAATAATATTGATTTGACTGTTCTTAACAGGCCTGGATTGTATGGGAGCGATTGGGAGGAGTTGGTACACCCATTGGGGGGGACTTATTTCTATCACAATAAAAAGGTGAGCACTGGCCGTTTGTATAAGTGATGTATTTACTAACCTGAAATTTAGAACACATATACATCACTAAATATACGCCATATGGATCGACAAAGGCTCGAAGATTTTATCGACGTATCAAGAGCCACGGAGAAAGAAGATGAGTGGGTATTGGTTGTTCACCAAATGAGCTACAGAGGAGAAGAAGTATATCAATACTACTATGTGGTCCACGACCTGTGCATCATTACCTGGCTCAAGGATCTGGACAGCTACCTTCTTCTCTGAGAATGTATCCAGGCAAGCGAATGGAGGCATAAGAGTGCGTTGCTATGCAATTACTTGATCTTTTTCTTGATTGTGTTGTACAGGGTTTGAACTCGAGGCTCAGTATTGGTAAGTGGTCGACAAATATTGTTTCACTTATTTTTATGGTTCACTGCTTCACAGGAGACACATTGAATTTTTTCCACACACATTCCACATGACATGCTCCCAAGTTAGACGCACACACAGAGAAATTCTTTGTTACCTTGGAGGTAAGCCCTACATTACTGCAATGACATCCAGAATCACATGAACGTACAATAGAAGCAACAACTTTGAACCAATCTACTGCAGCTACGATTTTCTGGACTCTAGACCAAATGAGACAGGTTGACGTGCAACTTGCTAGTGTCGGTATGTGCCCAAGTCTTGCCTGCCATAACATCGTGATGACCGAGGAACAGAAGCCCTTGCAGAAAACGAAATCATCGAGGATACTGGTGTTGTGCTTTGTTGTATGTGAGCCCAGCAAAACTGGACAATTTGGATACTAATTTCCCGACTAACAGGTAAAATACTGTACATGCTACGTAGGTCTCTCCTTCATAAATTGGATATCACTGTGTCAACATACAATATAGGCCACTACCAGTATCTGAACTGCCACAACCAACCCGAAGCTTGCCTTATTCGAGGCCATGCAGTGATAGAGAAACGTAGGACATGTAAAGCTCTCTATTTCATGGGCAATACTGCGGCTACAATACTGTGTATGCCGATCACAATCGACCACATCAGGAATACTTCTGTTGATGGTATTGTGAATGGGGTGGACGTCAGGACTTTTATCGATGATTTCAGCAGCCAAGCTAAGAGTCAGATCACCTTGGTAAGTGCTGTGTCAACATCACAAATCTTCATAACTCATCGGTCCTGACAGGCAGGCATCTCTGTGGCCATGGACATTGCCATATTTGCCATTCCAGGTCTAGGCACAACAGTAACCTCACAGACACTTTGCTCCTGCTCTTTACTTTTGGGTGTTGGCTGCATTTTCACTGCTACAATGGTGCAACACTTTGACAAGAAAATGAGATCCATTGACTTCATGGTTTGATTCACACCATATTACCGCAGCCTGAGCCTGACCTTGCTTACTGAACAGGTATATTACCTACAAAAGAAGACAATGATGTTGGTCGCCATTACAAGTATACTGACCTGCTTTTGTGTATTAAGGTCAGTCAACTTTGATTATAATTGCCTCTGTCACTCATAGAATTTCTACTAGTGTAATAAGTTCGATCCTTGGATTTCTTGCAGGTGTCATTGCTGACTTCAAGCCTTCCACACCCTTGGTGGTTGCATGCTTTACGATGCTCGGCATGGTGATAGGTTTCTTACTTGTATTGGTAATTGCAAGTTACGGTCCTAGCTTGTCTAGGGCACGGCCTTAGTAACTAGTAATAATTTAGCAGGGTTTGCTATGGAGTACCACATATGTAGGACTCATACATCCTGCACGAGCTGCCCTTCTTAGCCTAGTTCCGACAGGGTAGCCAATGAATGCAGCCTTTCCTCATCCTACTAGTAATCCAATCATGTTTGTACATACCCCCTATTTGATAATGACATTACCTTGGATGCATCACCACTATGAATAATGACCATTGGGTGCCAATACTACATACATTTTACAATCCTCGATGTGCGCCCGGTTGTCATTGCAAACAGCCATAAGACATCTGCATCTTCATCACTATGAATAATGACCATTGGGTGCCAATACTACATACATTTTACAATCCTCGATGTGCACCTAGTTGGCATTGCAAACAGCCATAAGACATACACATCTTTATCAAAATTGGGTTTCTCCTGTGTCTTTTTATCCTTCCATGCCATTATTTTGTGATTATATATCACTCTGTAAACAGATATAATCCAGCAGACATGTGATCTAAGTTTGCCATTTATATCAATAAACAGCTTTTCCTCGCTGATTCCCTGATGTGGCTTGTGGTTTGTGGACCTTCTCATTGCTAGCCAACATATAAGGGCATTGTCCATACTCTCACCTTTGAGTTTGGGGATGCACTGCCTATATGCACATCCAGAGGGACAAGAGAGATGGGCTTGGGTCTCATATGGAAAAGTACGTCTTCATTGGCTACCCTGCTGCTACAAGGGCTGGAAGTTCTACAATCCCACCTCCAAGAAGACCATTATCTGTGAAAGGGCTGACTTTGATGAAAGATACTTCCCTCTGTCCAAGTGCCCATCCAGTCCATCCATTCCAGCTCCCATCGCTCCAGCATCTCCTGTCACTGCTCCCCAGCCTCTCAGACAGTCAAAGACTACCTCTAAGCACCCAGCAGCACCCTCCTATTACAATCCTCCTCATTCAGATGACTCTGACTCTCATTCTAACTCTGACTATGATGAATCTAGTTCTGATGAGTCACTGGATCAAGGGGGAGATGTGGTCCCTCCAGCAGTTCCTGATGTCCCTCCTGTCGTCCCTATTCCTGATCCAGTCACTCCTCCACCTGCAGCTCATCCCAATCCACCTCCTAGGCCACCACCGTCTCCCATAGGCATTGGTGCCAGACTCCCTCAACGCAATAGGCAACCTCCCAGAGACTGGTGGAAGCTCTCTCCAGCTCAGCTAACTGATGTTGTTGATGATGAGACTGAGGATGCTGACTTTACTCAAGGATTTGAGCTTGCCGCGTCTACCAGCTGTTCCACCGAGCCATTGTCTTATAGGGAGGCATTGACTCGAGTTGATGCAGAGCAGTGGAACCAAGCAGCTCTTGAAGAACTCAATGCTTATCTTCTACTCTGGACTTGTCTGAAGTAGCCTTACTCTATTTACTCCTAGCCTTCCAGAGTTCCGCTGAACTCCCCCTGTGTCTGACCTCTGGACTTACCTGGACTTCCATTGGACTTCCCTTCTGCCCCTTGGAAATTAAGGGCATGTACTTGGGTAAGGGGCGCAGCACACGAGCTGAAGCCAAGCCCTTTAAGTTACTCTTCTCTTGAGCACGACCTTAACACAGACTAAAGACATAAGATGTAAGTGCAACTGGCAGTTGAGAAAACAAACCATGGGAACTGAATAGCATGTTGTTGATAAACCAACTGTTAGAATAACCAAGTGAAGCAAGCCACAAGTGAGCTAATGAGAGTGAACAGGACTATAGTCCAGTGTCAGTTGCTATTGTGTTGTGTAAACTAATGAGTGTACTATACCTATAGTCCAGTGTCAGTTGCTGAAGAGCAACCA